TACTACTACTACTAATAATAATAATACTACTACGACCACTACTACTACTACTACTACTACTACTACTACTACTACTACTACTACTACTACTACTACTACTATTAATACTACTACTACGACGACTACTACTACGACTACTACGACTACTACTACTACTACTACTACTACTACTACTACTACTACTACGACTACTACTACTACTACTACTACTACTACTACTACGACTACTACTACTACTACTACTACTACTACTACTACTACTACTACTACTACTACTACTACTACAGACGACAGCGTCCTGCGCCATTCTTCGAGCCCCAAGGGCCCGAGCCCCCCCCGGGGGAAACGCCCCGCGCTCGGCAAAACTGAAACGCCTGGATCTCAGGGTTCCCGCCGGCCCAGACCCCAGACGTCGTGATTTTCTCGCAACGTCCACCCCCGGAGTTCTGCACCTCAATGGGCCCTGGAAACGACAGGGCCGTTTTTTTACCGGTTCCGATTTGCCGCTTTTTTGCGGGTTCCCGCGCCGTTCTGTTACCGGTGCCGTCGCCGTTTGTTTGTCCGGTTCCGGCTCTGGCTCCAATCTTGGAGCCGTTGTTTTGCCGTTTCCGCTCGCCGTTTCCATTTTCAAGAGACCTTTTTTCCGGAAACTGTGACAAAACGGCCCTGCCGTTTCCGGGGCCCACTAAGGTCTGGACCCCTTCCCTGGGACGGGCTTCTCATCCCGAGTCGTTTTCTGACGCTCCTGAAGCCCCACAGAAGCCCCCCGAGGCAGAAAATAGTGAAAAACCTCCAGTCCCCAGACATCTGGCGTCTCGACTTTTTCGAAACGCGGGCCCCCGACCTCTCGACCACTTCCCCGGGACCAGTTTTTCATCCCGAGTCGTTGTTAAAACTGTCCCGAGCCCCGGCATCAGGGCCCCGAGAGGCCAAAAACCATGAGAAACCTCTGCCTCCACTCTTTTGAAAACCAGAGATCCGACGTCGTGATTCTTTCAATACGGGGTCCCCAGAAGAGTCGACCCATTCCTCAGCACCGGTTTTTCTTCCTGAGTCGTTTTGTTGACGGTCTCGGGGCCCGGCGAGGGCCCCCAGAGGCCGAACATGGCGAAAAACGGCCGTCGTGACTGTATCCATACGTTGGACCTCTGGGAAGCCAGACGCCTGGGATCGCGACTTCTTCACGACGCGAGGGGGCCTTGGGGGGCGGCGCTGCCTCGCCGGCGGCGGCCGGCGCCGTGCCCCGCTCGGCGGGCCCGTCCGCGGGCGCGCCGCCCGGCGCCCCGGCAGCGGCCTCTGCCCGCTGGGGCAGCGCTGCCGCGCCGGCGGCGCGCGCGCCGCGGGCGCTCTCCGCGGGGTCCGCGCCGCCGCCCGCGCACGCGGCCGCGCCGGCAGCGTCCGCCTCTGCGACTGCCAGGAGATGGAGGGAGGAGGGAGGAGCCCGAAGATCCAACGCATGGAGAAAGTCAAGACGTACATGTTTCGCAGTTTTTGGCCTCCAGAGGCCCTCGCCAGGCCCCGGGACCGTCAAGAAACGACTCGGGATAAAAAACGGGTCCAGGGGAAGGGGTCGACCCTTCTGGGGACCCCGTAATGAAAAAAAACACGACATCGGATCTCTGGGGGAGGAGGAGGAGGAGGAGGAGGAGGAGGAGGAGGAGGAGGAGGAAGAGCGCAAGGGGGAAGGTGTCCAGACCTCTGGGGGGCCCAAACCCCCGACGTCGTGACGTGTTTCTCGTCACCCAGGCCCCCTCGCGTGGTGCAAACATCGCGGCGTGAGGCTTTCCCAATATTCTCGGCCTCGGGGGGGCCCGGGACCGTCTCGAACGACTCAGGATGAGAAGCCGGTCCCAGGGAAGGGGTCCAGACCTCTGGGGGTCGACGGTGCAAAAGAGTCACGGCGTCGGGGGTCTGGGTCCAGATCGGCCGCCGCGGAGCCGCGCCCCGGAGGCTCGGGGTCCCTGATGGTAGGGGAACAAAAAGTGACATAAACATAAAAACTCGGAGGTCCGCGCGGATTTCTCGGATCGGCGCTGGGCCCCCCGGCGGCGCCTCCGGCGCCGC